TTAACCTCGTTTACCGCTTGTTGGTAGAATTTGCCATTCCCAGTGGATAATTTCAGGAGATTTGAGGGACCAATACAAAATATATAATATTTAAAGTAGTTAAATAAACCATTGGGTATTATTATTATTATTGGAAGTCTCATGAAGAGAAACAGAGTTTTTGGGTAAAAAAATATTAAGTTTCAAGAATTCTGTATCATTTCTACGAAAAGTTCTTTTTTCCCCATATAAAATACATGGAAAACTTTGAACGCTTTGAGCGACCTCTAAATATATTTTGATAAAAAAACAGGAGTATATGTCTCTCAGTATAGAACAATCCCAAAGGGTGAGAACATTCAAATTCTGAATTTACTTTTGTTTTGGATCACCATAATGCACATTTTGCTATTTATTTGGCCGCGGTTCCGCTCCAAGTTGTGGTGTGGGTCTACAGTTTTACGCCGCCTCCGAAAGGCAAATGGATTTTATGAGAAGATTTTTCTATCGCAAAAATACACTGGCACGACCGTTGTTGGGTAAAACTATTTCTAATTTAGAGTTGGGATCGAACCCAGTTCCTACGGAGTGAATGAACGCAAGCGCAATTTTCGAGTTTTTTTCAATATGTCTGTTCGTGTAGCAAATAATTTGTAACAATTATCAAAAATTATCACGTTTCATGTAAACAAAAATAAATTAAAATTCAATTTTAACTTGTAACAATTTGCCAGTGAGAAAGACTGCGTTCAATTCACACCAATAAAGTATTTTTTTTTATCGTCTTTTTATAGTTGTAATTAACAAAAGGTACATTCGTTTAAAATCTCAAGTCAAAAATATCCAGCAGTGAAAAATTCCGGCGTATTAGAATAGTATATACGCGAAGAAAAACGTTTGCAGAAAGTTCCAAGTTAGCCAAACAGCTGATAGAATTTTGGTTTGCATTCAAAAAATGATACAGTTGGTCCACTTTCAGATACGTCAAGTCTTGCAAGCAATTATTTTCGCATTCTCTTTTGTGTTTTCTATTTGCTTCCACACGCGTCAACTTTAATTGAATTCAAGTCCTTGGTTCTTTAAATGGGAAGCAACGAAATGATCAAAAGAGACAAGAAAACTTGAAACGAATTGACGGTACGGAGGTATCTGTACTCTTCCCCTCTCTTCTCACCTCCTTCGCCTACGAACGAGCAGACTTGAAAGCAAGACTTGACGTGTCTGAAAGGGGACTTATTAAGTGATGAAATTAACACTTATATCATCAAGTATAATTAGTCGTATTTTACAATTTTAAACTTCCAAACCATCAAATTTAATTTTGCGGTTTGCGTAAATACCAATCAGCCGTTTTCTTGCTGGGAAATTACTACTGGCAAAAATTTTTCCTGCAGAAATTATTCACTTCCCTTCAAAATAAAATGTCACTTTGTTTTCACAATTTCCCCTTCTTTACAAGTCATTTGCGTACGCGAACGTCAAAAGCTGATAATTTTTGATAACAATCAATAATTATCAGGTATGCGAATGCAACTATAATAAGATATGAGCAACTGTTTTTATTAGCAAATTGCGGGGAATAAGCGAATAAGCAACAAATTAACAAATTGTTCTGGTTTTGCGTTCACCTAATTTTTTGTGGGGTTTTCTCTTTGAGAGCGCAGGTTGTAAAATTCTGATAAGTTACTGGATAACTTTTATTGTACATATATATGTCGTAACAGAACGTTATGTAAAATAGGTAATAATACCTCTATTATAGCGAAAAGATCGATGTTTCAAATAAGTTTGGTTTTAAATGTGTATGAGAATTTTGAAAAAATTTACAAAATGGCACCTTGCTGAATATGCAAATAAAGAAGCAATTAAAAAAAGAACATTTTTCAGGGCAATCTCTTATTAGTGGTTAATAAAAAAATATACAGTGACTCAAACAAATGAACACGAATTTTTTTCAGTATTCGGAATGTTTTTAAAGCTAAATTTTGTTTGTTATTTTTCTATAAAAATACCGTGCAATCTTAAACCCAAACCATATAAATCACAGTTTCAAGGTTTATAAAAAATTTAGGAAAAGTCAATAAACTATAATCAAAATTTCAACTTAAAAACAATTGTTGGTATTCAGTTTTATAGCTCATTCAATTTTATTCTAATGAAGTGCAAGTTTCAAATGGCAAAAAAATCCCGTTGATTTTTGAGAATTTTTTTTTTTGGTTCTGGATTTTTGCAATGTTTTCTATTTTCAATATTTTCTATCCGTTAGCAACAAAATTAAAAAAAATAGCACCAATTTTTGGGAATTGCACTTGTTATTTAAAAAAAAAAAAACGCAAAAGGCAGTTCTCAAAAATAAAGGTGATTTTTTAGCCGGTTAAAACTTGCACTTAATTAGACTAAAATTGTATGGGCTATAAAACTCCAAACTGTTCTAAAGATTTAGATTAAAACTTTAAATTTTGCTGAAAATTTGTTGGCATTCCTTAATTTTGTATAAAGTTTGAAACTATGATTTATATGTTTTTGGTTAAAGGTTGGGCGGTATTTTTATAGAAAAATAACAAACAAAAAAATTGGCCCGAAAAACATTACGCATATTTAAAAAATAATCAAATCGTAGTCATTTGTTTGAGTCACTGTGAATCCACTTAGAGGAATAATTCATCTTTCATATAACATTGTGATCGGGTGCTGAGCTAAGTTTGAAATTTCAAGTCTCTAACTTATCAGGAAGTTACTCAAAAATTTATTGCAAGATTTGTTTACACACAGGTGAAACTTAATGAAAGCTTGTAATAAAAAATTAAAAAAAAAAATTTATTATTCCCCAAAAGTTAAAAAAAAAAAAAAAAAATCATGTGAAATATTCTATTTTATCTTAGTTGGTTCAGAATTTGTCAGCAAAACATTCTCGGACTAAAACTGGTAACTTCTGACAGAGAGAGGACCTCATTTACTCTCTCTATTTTGTCCTCTCAATAGTCAGAGAACCGAGTGCGGGATCGATTTCCAATAAAATCTGACTAATTCTGGCTAGTCCGGACTCATACGGGATCGCAAATTATATACATATAAACGTAATACTCGCGTTGTAGCTAGTGTCGTTGAACTTTCAAATTTTACCGTGTCATACACCTGATATTTTCCTAATTGGCTTAACGCAAAACTTTCGCTTCGAAATTCTTGGTTTACGGTGTCGCAGATTTTGTTTCGTTTCAATGTATGTACCTATGATTTGTTTTTTAATTTTTATAGCGCGTCCATTTATATAGCAACTTAAGTACATACTTATGTAGGTCAGTTCTTTTATAAATTCGCAAAATCACCATCCACATTTGTNATACACCTGATATTTTCCTAATTGGCTTAACGCAAAACTTTCGCTTCGAAGTTCTTGGTTTACGGTGTCGCAGATTTTGTTTCGTTTCAATGTATGTATGTACCTATGATTTGTTTTTTAATTTTTATAGCGCGTCCATTTACATAGCAACTTAAGTACATACTTATGTAGGTCAGTTCTTTTATAAATTCGCAAAATCACCATCCACATTTGTGTGGGTTTACTCGTATATTTAGGTATGTCCATGTGTTTTTTTTTTTTTTAATATCAACTCTCTTGACTTGCGATGTGTGAATCGTGTGATAAAAACATACAATAAATATACATACATACATATGTATCAGTATGTAAATGCAATTTCTTTCACTCGTTTATAGGTGTCTGCATCAAAAGTTTCAAAACCAACACCAATGAGAAATTTTTCATTAATGTCTGCCAAACGGATGAGATACCGGCACCGGAAGACATTACCGAAGAGCAATTGGCCGACATTTTGCAATCGGAGGCGCCAAGCTCATTTCGTATACCCATGAGTATATCCGATCCGCGCGTCACCAAGGATAAATCAAATAACTCTGTGGATGTTTGCGATATTGCCATCAATCCGAAGTTTTTCGTTAAAGTTCAGAAATCAATGTTGTTTAAGGATTTTTTCCTAGCACTGATTGCTGAGGCCTTAAATGACAAGTACAATGTGCAAATAAAGATTGAAAAGTCAATTATATTGCAAAATCGTAAAGTTATCGGTACGCTTGTACAGCATCGCGTACGTAATAATGATGTAAAAACAGTCATCAAGTCATACCAACAACCTACCGAAGCTGATAAGCTGAAACTGGCTGAAATGGAGCGAGCGGCGACCAGTGGAGAGGAGATCGGCAGCAAGCGTTCACCATTGGTGCAAGAGATTGATACAAGCGAGGTTGATGCGTTGAAACGTAAAACGGTAGAATTGAAAGAGAATGCCGGTAAGATTAAGCAGTCCATAGCATTGGCTGGATCTACAGTGCCCGAGTATAAATTGCGTGCTAAGTTGTGCAAAGAGGAAGTGGAAGAATTATTGGCTGAATTTTATCTACCGAAATGCGTACGTTTTACAGAAGTTACTTACAGTTAGTCATTAAAGTTTAGGTATAGCGATTTTTTTACAATACGGCCAACTATTTTTTAAATACTTTATTTTTCGCCAATTTTTTATAAAAATATGGTTAATTCTACAACAAAAACCCCAAAAAGAAAAGTTCCAAACCTTGTGCGAAATTAAAGAAAAATCTGCAAAATTTCATTCAAATATTGCACTTTTTAGTTACGTTCTATAGAAAAAAGTTGAGTATGCAGTTTTTTAACCCATTCAATTTTAGTATAACAAAGTGAAAGTTTGAGGTAGCTAGGACTTACCATTGATTTTTAGCAATTTTTTTTTTGTTGAAGGTGTCGCTCATTTTCTCCATATAAAATAATGTTTGATTTTTTTTTATATGGAAAAAATGTGCGACACCTTCAACAAAAAAATATCCCAAAAAATGTGCATACTCAACTTTTTTCTAGAGAGCGTAAATAAAAAGTGCAATATTTGAATGAAATTTTGCAGATTTTTCTTTAATTTTGCACAAGGTTTGGAACTTTGATTTTTGGGGTTTTTGTTGTAGAGTTAACCATATTTTTATAAAAAATTTGCGAAAAATAAAATATTTGAAAAATAGTTGCCCGTATTGTAAAAAATTCGCTGTACCTAAACTTTATTGACTGACTGTATGTATATAAAATGTATACGTTTTTTTTCTTTCAACACACTTTCTTTCTCACAGATTTCTTCCCAAGAAATTACTTTGGATGTTGGCGAGGATCGCATTTTATTGGAGTCAATGAAGCATGGCTATATGTTTGATAAATTTGTTAACTATCGTTTGAATCAAGAGCGTGTGCGCGCTATATTCGATAAAACCAATAAGGTAATATGAGATGAATAACAATAAATTAAATTCAGTATGCAGTAGATTGTTGTAAAATTTCTATTTCCTTTTCAGATGCTGCAAGTGCGTATTCCTGTCTATCCGGTACAATAGAAAATAAAAACTCTTTTGTTATATATTTTTGATGAGTACAACTCGATTGTAATTCTTATTCAATAAATAAATTTGGTGGGAAAGTATTTTTGTGTTGTCACGCCCTCTCGCTACATCCAAAACTTTTTGTTAATAGGTGCGTTCTTTTATAAGTCCAGAAGGCCAGCAAGGAAATTCCTGAGAATTTTGGTGTATTCTCTCTCAGTGAGAGATGCTTGCAAATTTTACGCGAACGCCAAACTTCCACAAACTTGCAAGTTTCACTGCCTGCTTTTT